ATGAGCACCTGGATTTAGTAATGGCTGATGTCTTCCTTACATTGTTTACCTTTACCTCAGCTAGTAATTTGGGGTTGTACATCTTTTCTAGTTTAATTTTGAATGTTGTTGCATATTTGGTACATTTCTCAACAGTGCTAAAGATGTTTATCTGTGTATTAAATCTATAACAATGTTTTGAATGTACACACTCCTACAGAAATGTTTGTTTTATTAAGTAAATTCAGTATTTGCTGTGAAAAAAAAATGTTATTTGAGGCCATCATTTATCTTTGTATTTATTTTCTGTGTGCATATGTGTCTGTGTTACAATATTTTTTTTCTTCAGATTTAGATTAAATCATACTGGGATGAATTTAAAAAGAAAGAAAGAAAATAGAAGGGAAGGGAGGGAGGAGGGAGGGAGGGAGGGAGGGCATGGTGGTGTGGAAATAGGAGGCTAGGTTTTGTTGGGTCTCATTCCCTTAGGGAAAAATTGCTTTTGCCATTTTATTTTTATGTACAATAATCTAAGAAGGATATCCTACTGATTTGCTTCCTAATTATTGCTTTACACAAAAGAAGGGAAATATGTTTTCAATTGAGTTGCCTGAAGTCACGCCCTTTGTGTAGATCTCCCAGGCTGATGTTTCATTGTAAGAATACATATAGACAGCTTGGCCATTTCACAAGTAACTAATTCATGATTTTGAGGTATTCTGCTGCTTTAAGAGGCCTAAGTATCTTTGTTTTTAATAAAATGCTTAATGTTTAACTGAAGCTTCGGAATACTCTTTCTCTTCATAAGGGGGATAGAAGGACTGAAAGAGGCAAGCATGCATCTGAATACCAACAATTTAAATTCTGGGGATCACTTTTAGCCCATTAGCCTTGCCTGGATCTGTGATGCTTGCCTGTGTGAGAAGGATACTGGGACAGCCCGCTCCTTGGAACACTTTAAAGATGACAAAATAATTCGAATTATTGAAGTTTTCCTAGAGGGAGAAGAGTCTGCAGCCAAATGCAGGTTCCAGCGTCCTCACAGATTGCTCAAATTTGCATGGCAATTACACAGGGGGATTGCATCAATCCAGGGCCGTCAGCCACACTGATGCCATACAATTACAGGACGGCTTCGGTGCTTACACTTTAAAATTCTTACAGCATTGTGCCTGTTCTATTAGAACAAACTGCAGCAAATGACCCAAAGCCAATTCAAATGACTGAAGAGGAGGTGCCCAGGGGGTGGGGGGAGGGAGCGGGGGGGGGGGGGGGGGGGAGAGGGAAGAGGTGTAGCGTGGCCCCTACTGGCCAGCGTAAGCAATCACCAGTCCTCGGTGCTGGCTGCAGCAACCGCTGGCATCTTAATCCATGCTTCTCACGTGTGGCCAACAATAAGAATCATCAAATTCACAGAAGAGCTGTAAAGATTATGGGGGAAGTTAGGCAAAGCAGGACCTGGTCTCAGTACAAAAAGTACCCTTTATAAACACAGGGGCTAGAGTAGTTCTTTGTTTGGGTAGAAGGTTGATTATTTTAAATGCCAGTATCCACAGTTGTGCCTTCTCTAATTCCTTTTATAAATCATATGCTGCTATGATCTCTGATAAATTAATTTAGATCATAACGCCATAAGCCCCCAAATATAAACTACTTGATAGATGATAGATCCTCCCTTCCCCCAACTGGTGGGCGGAGTATGACGTAACCTGCAGCCCGGAAATACCTGACTGACCATGTACCTTATATGGACTATACATTGAACCACCAATCCACACCTGCCAAATACCCTAAGCCCTTGTCCTATATGGACAATGCAGTAAGCCACCAATCAGTGTGCGCCGAGTACACTAAGCCCTCCAGCCCCTCCCATTCCGCCCCTCAAAAGGCGTGCCCACCCCTGCACTTGCTGCTGTCCTCCCCTTGTGAGGCAGCCCGGCAGGTCCTTCTCCTCTAATAAAGCCTGTAGTCCTGGTTTTCGGCCTCTGTCTGATCTTTCAATAAAAAAACAAGCTATATTCAAGAAGAAAATCGAATTTAAAAAATTAATAAAACTGGAATTACCAGGAAAGAAGAATTCATAACGAGGTTAAATGTCTCACCATCTGAGTATAAATGTTCCTAAGCATTGATTTGGAATGCAATCTTTCCAAAAGTCTTAAAAGATTAAACAGATACTCCTAAAAGTCAGTCAACTATATTACCAACTTGGCACTAATTTATTATTTTCTTCCCTGTTTATGGTGAAAGATGGGGGAGGGAGGAAACAGGATAACTGAGCCCCCCACACTGACCATATTGTAGAAAATGGCCTGGAACAAAACGGGGGAAGAAATGACAACTGGAAAATTGTCTGACCACAGCTATGGTTGTGGAGATGTTCATAAATTACCAATGTTTACCAATAGGATACTTACAGGATTAATAAAAAAACATACCTTCCAACTAGTTTTAAAAGAAAATGACAAATAGATTAACAACACAAATAGAATGTGATCATTTCACACTTTGGCAAGCAGAAACATAAGCATGTTAAGAAGCAAAAATGCTTAGTCTAAATGCTTTTGGCTTCTATACATTTTGCCTAAATGAAATTCTTCTACGTGGTAAACATGCCTCCCCTTATGCAGCAAAATCCAACACCACTTTCCCAAAGTAATTCTGTCCAATGAGGCACTAAATCATTTTATCGCAACCACTAAATTATTTCTTATTGCTAGAATGGCACAATACAGTTACCTTTTTGATATATGCTCCAGATTTTCAAGATCCTGTTGGAAACACACTGATCCTTAAGACATTTTATGTCATTTATTGCTTTCCAGAATTTCTATCATTAATTAAAGGGTCTTCTTTCACCATCTCTCCCCCTGCACACACACACGCGCACACACACACACACACACACACACACACACACACACACACACAAATCTATTCCCCAACTGCCTATAGGCGGCAAAATAAAAGTCTATCACAGCAGCAGTGATGGTCATGCCAATTTCACAGTATGATCTGGGCACTCATTTCATTTTGAAAATGAACCTGCCCTCCATCTGTCTAAGCTGAAAGTCCTGCTTTTGTCAAGCCAGCACATGAAATAAGGGGAAAGACACAGAACAGCCTCCCTCCTGCCCGCTTCTGCTGCCACACTCACAGCTAGTTACCCACACAAAGAGGGGAACCTCAGCTGAAACCGGTAGGGATCAGAGAGCAGACAGTCCTTTATCTTTCTTATGTTTCCAAGAAGCCATTTGAAAAAGGTGAATGCTTTCATGATGCAATTCTGAGAAACAGGCAAACTAAAGAGATATATAACACAACTTCCTGTTTCCATGTTTTATCATCTTACCTTGATTTAATAGCAACTCATCCAAAGTAACAATTCATACGTAAGGATTTTAAAATATGGAGCCTGAGCGTCCAAGGGACACGTGTAGTTAGGCAGCTGTAGAGGTGAAGATTCTCCTCCACTCACCCTCAAATATTGAGCAGCACTAGCCAGCATCCCTCAACCCGTGTACCTCCCTGGTTTGAAGGCCCTTAAATGGTGCTCACAGAGACTAGGTTGAAAGAAGCCTCAGAGTAAGGTTATGGTGATCCTCATCAACTGCTTTCTGTAGGTGGCCAGAGCCCTACTCAACCCTGCTGAAATGGGTGTAGTTTGTCCCTTTCTTGGTATTCATACAGTGGAAGCTTCCTTGTCCGATTCCACCCGTAGGAACACAGCTCTGCCAATTTCTGAGCAAAGGAAAAGACTTAATTAGTACATAAAATCAGTTGCTTTATGATAGGAGCAATCACAAGTCTATAACAGTCCCCTCCTAGCTATTCCAAGTGACTAGGAGTTATACCACCCCCACATTACTCCTTAACATTTGCTTACAGCTACAGTTCAGGCCCGAAAGCTCACCTTTCTATTACCCAAACAAACTTGGTTGCTTATTTTAATGCAGAAAAACAACACACTAATTCATTGTCATACAACTTGGCACCAAACACTGAGCCCTTAAAAACTCATCTATAGGAGGTATATGGAATAGATTATTCATCAGTCACTATTTCCTACTGAAACTAGCTGTTCGAATATCATGGCACAGCTACTATTTAACTGTGTGGTCTTGGGCAAGTCACTTGGACCTTTCTAATAGACAGATTCTTCATCTGTAATATATAGACTATAGGGTGGACAATAAGATTAAAATTAATACATGTAAATGGTCTAATAGAGAGTCACATACTACAGTTGCTGTTGGCTCTGAAATTGTATATATAAAAAAGATGTAGGGGCAGCAAAACTATAGAGGAGACGGATAAAGGACTGTCACTGAAGTCTTTAAATATTTAGCAAAGATGCTTTTATTCAAACACCGTTTTTCTTGGGTATAGACAGGTCAATACAGATCATGGAAAATCAGTGGGAATATAGGAAGAGTAAGAAATATTTGTTTCTTAATTTCAATAAAAATTTGGAGGACCAGGGCAGAAAATACAGCCAAGTTTAAACACCAACATCTGCTCAGTAATACTTGTTTATTAAAAAGGGAAGTGGGAGACACTCGGATCTAAAATTTAAAGACTTTCATACCTGATAAGATTCACAAAACAATTTCCTGTGGAAATAGCAAAAAATAAGGACTCTTGGTCTCTGCATATTATGTTCTTACAAAGTGTGCCCTCAAGGCAGCTTAAAAACAGAAGTCTAGAGGAATTCCAAGGAAATATTCCACCTTTTCTATCCCATTAATTTACAAAAACAAAACACGAAACAACACCTCTATGCAGCACGTAGTATATAGGACACACGACCACAAACCTTCCTCCCCCTCGCCAAAGACCAAGATGACACAAGTAGGAAGCAACTCATCTACATAGAAACAGAAATCCAGTGAAACCCCAGCTGCCAGGCTGTGGCTCCCTCCCGCAAAGACTACATCTCCCAGAAAGCAAAGCGGCCAAGTCCCAAGTGGCCTGGGTGCACTTGACCGGTGCATGCCGGGAAGTAGAGTTTCCGCCACAAAACTACCAGGAGGGGATTCCTCTCTCTTCCCAATTCATTTCCTCCGCTAGTCGTCTTCCAGGACTGTATCAGTACTCGAGAGACTCTGTTCAGTGATTCCTTTATATTGCTAACGGTCTCCTTCCGTTGCAAGGTAATATCCGAGCTAGGAGTTTTCCGTTTCCGGTTGGCTTATTGCCTTGGAAACTGGGACGCACAGGCATCTTGGCGGTTATGGCGGGGCTGGGCAGTACGCCGATCCCCGACGGGGAGTTCACCGCGGCCGTGTACCGGCTCATCCGGGACTCCCGCTACGCCGAGGCGGTGCAGCTGCTGGGCAGGGAGCTGCAGCGGAGCCCGAGGAGCCGCGCCGGCCTGTCGCTGCTGGGCTACTGCTACTACCGCCTGCAGGAGTTCCCCATGGCTGCCGAGTGCTATGAGCAGCTGAGCCAGCTGCACCCGGAGCTGGAGCAGTACCGCCTGTACCAGGCCCAGGCGCTGTACAAGGCCTGCCTTTATCCCGAGGCCACCCGGGTCGCCTTCCTCCTGTTGGACAACCCCGCCTACCACAGCCGGGTCCTCCGTCTCCAAGCTGCTATCAAGTACAGCGAGGGCGATCTCCCCGGGGCCAGGAGCCTGGTGGAGCAGCTTCTGAGTGGGGACGGGGGTGAAGACGGTGGGGGTGAGAACGAGTCAGATAGCCAGGTCAACCTGGGTTGTTTGCTCTACAAGGAGGGACAGTATCAAGCTGCATGTTCCAAGTTCTTTACAGCCCTGCAGGCCTCGGGCTACCGGCCTGACCTTTCCTACAATCTGGCTTTGGCCTATTATAGCAGCCGACAGTATGCCTCGGCTCTGAAGCATATTGCAGACATTATTGAGCATGGCATCCGCCAGCACCCAGAGCTAGGTGTGGGCATGACCACGGAGGGCATTGATTTTCGCAGTGTTGGCAACACTTTAGTTCTTCACCAGACTGCACTGGTGGAAGCCTTCAACCTTAAGGCAGCCATAGAATACCAACTGAAAAACTATGAGGTGGCCCAGGAAACCCTCACTGACATGCCACCAAGGGCAGAGGAAGAGTTAGACCCTGTGACCCTGCACAACCAGGCGCTGATGAATATGGATGCCAGGCCTACAGAAGGGTTTGAAAAGCTACAGTTTTTGCTCCAACAGAACCCCTTCCCCCCAGAGACCTTTGGCAACCTGTTGCTGCTCTACTGCAAATATGAGTATTTTGACCTAGCAGCCGATGTCCTGGCAGAGAATGCCCACTTGACTTATAAGTTCCTCACACCTTATCTCTATGACTTCTTAGATGCCATGATTACTTGCCAGACAGCTCCTGAAGAGGCTTTTATTAAGCTGGATGGGCTAGCCGGGATGCTGACTGAGCAGCTCCGGAGACTCACTAAACAAGTGCAGGAAGCAAGACACAATAGAGATGATGAAGGGGTCAAAAAGGCAGTGAATGAATATGATGACATCCTGGAGAAGTATATTCCTGTATTGATGGCCCAGGCAAAGATCTACTGGAACCTTGAAAATTATTCAATGGTAGAAAAGATCTTCCGCAAATCTGTGGAATTCTGCAATGACCATGATGTATGGAAGCTGAATGTGGCTCATGTTCTGTTCATGCAGGAAAACAAATACAAAGAAGCCATCGGTTTTTATGAGCCCATAGTCAAGAAGCATTATGACAACATCCTGAATGTGAGTGCTATTGTATTGGCTAACCTCTGTGTTTCATATATTATGACAAGTCAAAATGAAGAAGCTGAGGAGTTGATGAGGAAAATTGAAAAGGAGGAAGAGCAGCTCTCCTATGATGACCCAGATAAGAAAACCTACCATCTCTGCATTGTGAATTTGGTGATCGGGACACTTTACTGTGCCAAAGGTAATTATGACTTTGGGATTTCTCGAGTTATCAAAAGCTTGGAACCTTACAATAAAAAACTGGGAACTGATACCTGGTACTATGCCAAAAGATGCTTCTTGTCCTTATTAGAAAACATGTCAAAACACACAATCATGCTTCGTGACAGTGTTATTCAAGAATGTGTGCAGTTTCTAGAACACTGTGAAGTTTATGGCAGGAACGTGCCTGCTGTTATTGAACAACCCCTGGAAGAAGAAAGAATGCATATTGGAAAGAATACAGTCACATATGAATCCAGACAATTAAAAGCTTTGATTTATGAGATTATAGGATGGAATATGTAGTTATGTCTGTTAATGGGCATGTTTGTTATCTATATATGGTATTCTCTTTTGTCTGTAGTTGTCCTTTGGTTTCTTTACATTTGTTGAAATTTTTATCCTTTAAAAGTTAAAATAATATAGCTGTAACTTTTCTTTTTAATAATCTCATGAAATGAAATGTAATAAAAGAACTTGAACCCTAGAAGTGTATGAGAAAATTCAAAAGTGAATGAGGAAATTGTGTTTAATAGTATTTCTAGTGCCTGTGTTCCCTATCCTTGTGCTTTGGTATATCCTGAGGGAACCCTCCATGACAATATTACATTATCCACGGAATAGGCACTATTAAGTCCAGGATTCCATTAATGTGTAGGACATCTGGGTATTAATAATCATTTCAAGAATATAGTGTTGTATTCCAACATTAACCCTTATAATTACATTAATTTATAATGCATACATTTTGCATAGACCTTCTAAGTGGGATTTTTTTGTTGTTGATGATGATTTTTGTTTGGTTGGTTTTTACTATGCAAGACTCGGGGAATTCTTGTGCCATAACAAAATTGTGGTGCTATGGTGCGGAGACAATAAACAACTGACCAATTTCCATTTTTCTTCTCCATTTATTAATAATTTAAATATACAAACATGAACATAAGCTATAATCATACTATTTTCATAATTTATCTTTAACATTAATAATAGGTAGCTTTAGACTAAGTTCTTAATTCTTATCCTTGTATTTCTACTTAGGACACATGAATCCTAGAACATGTTTCCATGTTCTGGCCTCTTGAAAATGAAAAAAAATTGGTATGCTATTTCAATGATCCTATCAACCTCCTATCCTATTCATATAACAGAAGGAATGGTCTACCAATGGATTCTGAAGTCATATCTGGTAGATTCATAATACAAATGTCATATTTAACAGCCTCTCAGTAGTGTTTTGGAGTTCTCACTATGAACCTCAATCATTCTGCTCAGGCATTTAATTTTCTATAAGCTACAAAAGCTTTACTATTTGTTCCACCCTCATGTCTGATAATGGTTTTTGGCTTTCTTACCTATATTTCACACTCTTAAAATCTATATTTATCCTGTGTTATTTATTGAGCTTTGTAAAGATGCAAAGGATGATAGTAATAATAGATATTCAGTTTGAGGAAGTTTTCCATTTAAGAAGAGAAGGGAGCATATAATATGAGCTAAATCAGTTTGCATTCCCTGCTAGTTGCAGTCACCATGTCTTGCCCTCATACAACAATTGCTAGGGTGATGTCTTTATATAAGCAAGGAACCAGGCACCCTAAAAGCAGTTTATATTCTACTTTAGGCTGTTAAAAAAGAATGTGACATGAGCCGATGAACTTTCAGAGTGGGTGTGTTTGCCTTTGATTGCTAGCCATGGCTGGACCATTTCTCAAGAAAGAATAGTTTCATTGTGCCATTACAAGATAGACTGTGTTTCCAATAAGACCAATTATGTCCTTAATTGTATGGCTCCACTCTATTTTTCAGTTCTTTAACAACAGACTATTTGGACACTGGCCCAAGTTCTTTGAGAAGTACAGGTATTAAATGGATGATAATTTTTTTCTTGGTTCTTATGAGGTTTGTTCCATGATTTAATTTTCCTCCATAATTTGGTTGGTTGGTTGGTTGGTCTTAAGTTTTATAATCAACTAGAGGCCCGATGCACAAAATTTCTGCAAGGGACTTGGCCCTTGCAGCTCTGGTGGCTTGCCTCAGCCTGAGGCGACAGCAGCAGCTGCCTCAGCCCTCCCAGCCCTGGCTTCGTCTGGAAGGTCGTTTGGAAGGACGTCCAGCCTAATTAGCATATTATGCTTTTATTATTATAGACACTTCCCTTCATTTTCCAGAATTGATTGTGTCTCCTTGTGAATACGGGCAAATATCAAATGTGGAAGCTTTCTAATATGTTCAGTGTAAGGAAAAATAAACACTGGACTGACAATGAAAAGACTAAGATATTTGCTCTTAATTCTTCTAAAAAATGATATACAAAATATCATATAAATAACATATATCCAGACTATTATAATATGCATTTTAAATCACTTATTCTTGAAATAATTACAGGCTTTCCTGCCCCTGAGGTGAAGGCCTCAGCTTCCAGTCTGCCAGAAATCTGGAAACAGGAACAGGAACAGGTGACGTGAAGATGAAAGAGAGATTTAGCTATGTGATTTACTTCACCTTGGATCCCCTTCAATTCCAAATCTCAGCAGTTAATCAAATGTCTGCTACCATTAACCGAGCAGAGGCAATAAGTAACAGAGTGGAAGTAACAGATGCCAGAGCCACTTCTATAGCTAACTCACCAAATCACATTACCAGTCCTTACGCCCTTGTTTTATCTAATACAAGGAGAAGGGGACATGCAGCCTTCCCAAAAGGACAAAGCCACAGGAACAGCAAGCCAGTCCCTAGTTTATAAAGCTTTCTCACTAAGTGTCGCCTTTTTCTGCCTTCAAATGATGTATTTAGGAGGGAGTAGTACTTACTACTACAAAATGTATGACAAGAAAATACATGAAAAATCTACCTACCTTACCACCCCCTTTCCTTTCCTTTTTTTTTTAAAAAAAATCTTTTATTTTCTCCCTTTTATCAATTATAGGGACATTTCTCTGATAGCTGGCAGTTGAAACCACAAGCAGGTGTAAAAACTGCATTTCAACCTTTTAGCAACGTGTCAGGTAGGATAGTACTCTGATTATCTAAGTGACTTTAGATACCATTTAACCTCATATTTGCAAATCAAAATAACATTTATCAATGAAAAGTGACTCTTGGCATGGCTCAGTGGTTGAGCTTCAACCTCTGAACCAGGAGATCATGGTTCGATTCCCGGTCAGGGCACAAGCCCGGATTATGGGCTCCATCCCCAATGTGGGGCATGCATGAGGCAGCCAATCAATGATTCTCTCTCATCATTGATGTTTCTCTCTCTCTCTCCCTCTCCCCTCCTCTTTAAAATAAAATATACATATATATTTAAAAGTGACTCTCAAACTGGTAAAGCCAGAGAAAATTTTAAGAGTATGCACCAAAAGCACTGGATCTAAACAATTTGTAGAATACAGTGAGCTTTATTTGTGTACTTGTAACCTCTATATTTTTCTTTTAAACTCTTTGACCTCAATTGAAAAATAGTGACTGAAATCTTAAAGATTTGCAATATTTTTATTATTTAAAATGTTATGTGACATTGGGAATTAAATGTACTGTTAACTCTAGAAGACATTTGCTTTTTGTAGCCATAATAATTTTATATTGAAAAGGAGAGCCAGGCATTAGCCGACGGTAATGAATGAATTAATTAATTAGCCATAGGTATAGTGTAGTGTTGTTTTAATATTCTCCTGGGGGAGGGGGTTTTACAACACAATTACTAGAAACCACAAATTGAGGATCTTAAGGATCTTTTGGTTGTTTAATTAAGTCATCTCCCTTGGACTTGGGCCAAGATTGATCCATCACATACAGCATCATAATGTGTATATATTAGAAAAATAATTAGAAAATAGAGTTCTATATATCTCTAGTAGGAAAGCTATGCATTTGTTAGTTTAAGTAGGACTGCCAATAACTTCATTGTGAATATTAGGTGAACATGTAAACTGAGTCCAAGTCCTTTATGCAAAAATGAAATTTGCACATGTTCATGAAATTGAATACATCATTATCAATAACTGGATACCTAGTTCAAAATAACAAATGGCTAAAATTGTACTGTGTAAACAGGACCCCAGTAAGGTGTGTGAGAAAGTATTGATTGCTACTTTTATTTTGTTTCCAATTATTTTAGTACAAGAACCAAATGCTTAAGATAAAGGACACATGACTAAAGGTTTCACCAGCACTCATGACAGCTGCTTTAAAGAATGTGTCCACAGACTCTTGAAGAGCTTGTCAAGTCTCACCAGGAAATAACCAGCTGGTCAGTGTTTCTATCTCTGCTGCATAAGGTCAGGGGCTATTCTGTGGCTCAACCTCTTAGTCCCAGTTGTTCCAAATTTGCCAAAGCCATCTCCTAGAGTTTATTCACCTCATATATGGAAAGGAGAATATCTACTTTGGGGAATATAAGATGTTTAGTCCTTTAAGTCAGGAAATACTAGGTTTATGCAAGAGGTGGTCACACCCCGATACTGCAAAGCAAATGAAAGCTTCAGGAATCAAATCATAACAGAAACCCTTGCCTACAAGATTCTGTTGCATTGCTATACCACCTACCCACATATGCCATTATTTTGTGTGTTTACCAGAAAAGGCAAAACTTTTCCTATAGTTATATGATATTTTTGTTTCCCGGTCTTGTTCTTGTACCAATTCATTACATTTAATGAATGTTCCCACAAAATGCCAAAGAACAGAGGTGAGTTATACATGATTTGACCAAGATGCTGAAAATAGTTATTAGCCCCTTTCAGAAAGTAAGGAGACTATTTCTTATGACAATGTATATATAAGATTTATAGTGAAATGATTGGCAAATTGTGGAATTATCCTGGAAGTAATTGTGTGGAATATAAAATGGAAAAAAATCACAAATTCATTCTTCTACAATATTTGTAGATATGACTTAAGTTACAAATTGCACATTATGATACACATTGGAAATGCACCTGCAACAATGAGCCCTGGGCTTGGACTAGCTCATCTCTTGAATCCTAAAACGGAGTCTCACAGAGATTCTATGACTGAATCCAGGCCTTCTGGCTCAATTCCTGTGCTCTTTCCACTCTACCATACTCCACTCCTTGTTTTTTTCCAAATTATTCTGATTCTAAGCATTTTTTTTCCAGAGCTATGACTTTCACTACTTCTGTTGCTGATTTAATTTGTGGGTTAATAGGCTTTTCCCAGATACACTTATTGAGCACATGCCTGGGCTGGCCTAAATTATACTATAGTTTTCAAAAGTGTGCTGGAGGGGACTTGAGTAGTCACCACATATTATTTGCGACAGGCACAGATTTAACTATGGTTGGACACAAAGATCATTGACCCACCTGTTGTTCCATCACCTCTTTTTTTTCAAAATCACGTTTTATTATCCTTTTTCAAGTTAGTGCTTTTCTTCTCTCCATAACAGTTTCTTGCCAACAACCACAGTAAACACAGCTGTCAGAAGTTTTCTCTGCAACTCAGTACAAAAGGATACGTATGCAGTACTTATTCAGAAATCCCAGTAGAGGGCCAGCTGCTTCCACAAGTATTTCAAAGTGTTTCCAGAGTCTTTTGAAGCTTCATAAAGCTTTACCTTTACTTGCAAACTCCATTTGAGCCAAGATATTAAATGCTTACACTCTTCCACAAGATTGATTACTCAGTTTAGCTTACATCTTGGGAAGAAAAAATTAAAAGCAAGCTAAGAACAAGAGAACAGATTGAGTCTTTGCCATCTAATTCCTATTTTCCCCTTTGTATTAGTAACTCTCAATCCTTGCTCTACATCAGAATCAGCTGGTAAACTTTTCAAATATAGCGATTCCTGGTCCCTAACCCTAAAGCTTCATTTTAATTTATGGAGATGGAAGTGAAAGAGAGGGATCCATTTTTTAAAAG